TATTCTCCAGATATGGCACCATCAGATTACCATCTTTTTGTTCGCTGCAACATTATCTTAATGGGAAAACGTATGCAAAGGTCGAAGGTGTTAAAGAGGACATCGACATGTTTTTTGCTTCAAAGCCAAGTGATTTTTTCAATCAGGGCATTAAGAACCTGATTGTAAGATGGAAAAGCATCATCGATAAGAATGTAGACTATTTCATTTAATATATATTTTGTTTTGATATATAAGTTGTTCGGGTTTTTTTCATGTAAAAAAGCGACATCAATTTCTTGACGAACTAATAAGAATAAAATACAATAAGTTGCACAGTTATAAAAAGTAATTTGAGGATCTGGAAACGGTGAAAATTGTACATGTTCATAATCTTTTATGATAGAAGTAATGGTATAAGTTATACCATAAGACACACGCACACCTATTGAAAATGTCAAGATCAGAACAACTTTTGAGAAGCAGAATATTTGCAACAATACATCTTTTTCTATACATTTTTAGATACAAATTTTTGGAAGTTTGAGAAACCTGGAGAATTATTCAGCGATCTTGTATTTTAAATATCCCACCGTTCATGAAGGTTTCGTTATATACAACTGTATATCGAAGCCAATAAACGGGAAAGTGGTTTATATACGTGCATTAATACTAAATATGTTATTCCCCTTTGTAAGGCTTTTTTTTATTTTGATGTCACATGTGTTTGTATGAAATCCAACATAATACTGGGCATTAGTAAAGTACTTCTTTTGACAATAACTTGTGTTAACGTACATTTGGATGGCTACAACCTAAGTTTTTGTTTTTGGTTATATGGGGTGGAGCGAATAATGAGGAGAAAGTTATAATCAAACACCTTTCATGGAATCCACGCCAACTGTTTTCCTTTACAACGATTTGAATTAAGTATTTCTACGTATTTACACATTTCACCAAGCAATTACAGCTAATTTGAAGGAGGAGAAACCCTGAGAATAGAGGAGATCAACACCATTATTACATCCTTTGGCTAATGAAACTGTTATATACAGTTTTATCACCGATGAAGCTACCGAAACAACATGCAAAATGCCAAAGTTATTATTAATTCGCAGGAACCACATATACAACAACAATAGCCCATGAATTTACTGAAATCACGTGCGAAACAGCCACGCAAGAGTCGAGTCACTCAAGTAGAAACTTCAACTCTCCTTATTTCTGTGAATACAGATACGAGTTCACAAACTGTCGAATTTTTTTTTTCAGGGAAGAAGATATCACTTGACATTCTGAAAAAAAGGCCATCTACTCTGTCGGCGAATGGATTCCCAGTAGATAAGGGTCATATGTGCGACGTAAGTTCGTGTGTAAATCTGGCTTTGTTAATGCTTATATGTTTTGTATTAATGTTAGGTTTGCTCTTTAAATTAGAATAAAGCAGAAATAAACAATTTAGAGGATTTTTCAAAAACTGGAAGAATTTTTAACTTATCATGGAACACTGGACACTTTGTATGTAGAACACTGTGGTTGTTAGTTTGGATAACTTTTAGCATTTTGAATAACGTTTAACTTGAATGTTAGCTGTTTTCGAAGTTTAGTTAATGTTACCCGAGTTGTGATTTTGATTTAGCTTGCTTTAACAATAAACTGTTGACTGTATCTTTGGATTTTAGTTAATATTCACTAGTGTTTAATTTTAATCTTGGATTTTGTTTTACAATGGTCTCACACTGAACTGGTAAGAATGTATTAAAGTTTTTACTGTCTCTTCAACTTTCACAACCATCACAGAAACACTTGCCCCTGTTTCGTTGTGTCGTGTTTTTCCATTTGTAACTGTGAATACCCATTGTTCTTGTACAGCTTTCGGCTTCTCCCGTTTCTTCTTTACAACCCTGTTTCGTTGTGTCGTGTTTTTCCATTTGTAACTGTGAATACACATTGTTCTTGTACAGCTTTCGGTATATGTGTGGTTTTCAATACAAAATTACGTTTGTTTAAATACATTGTTATAGAAACACGCAACTT